TGATGTTTTTATCAGCTGTTTGGACTCTCATTCTGACGGCACCCATTCACTGCAGAGGATCCATTGTTGAGCAAGTGATGTACTGCTAAATTTCCCCAAATCTGTTCCGATGAAAAAACAAACTACATCTTGGATGGCCTGAGGATGAGTTAATTTTCATTTTTGAAATAAATACTCCTTTAAAGGCAGGGTATGTGATTTTTCAAAAACACTTTAGAAAACTGATTCGGGCCGAATCGCAAAACAAACTTGTAGCCAATCAGCAATAAGGGGCGTGTCTACTCGTGATGTGGAGGAGAGAGCTTTCAGTGCATGGGACGGACATTAGCCGAGCCGAGCGACAGAGAGATAGAGATGGTGGATAAAAAACAAAAGAGGAAAACGTCTGCGGAAGGATAAGGCAAGAAGTAGGACCCGTGTAAATATCGGATCAGCTTTCCAGCGCTGGAGAGAACTTAAGGAGCGGAGGCCTGCGATCGGACGCCGAGGTTGCTTTGTTTCTTCTCAATAGGTGAGTAACAACGTGTGTCTACAACAGCTAAAGTCTGCCTACACTGGACTCAAACGACCGTTGAAAACCATTTGAAATTTGTGTCAGCACGTCATAAATAGAACCCGGCAGCAGTTTTCTGTCGGGGATTTGTTGCGCCGCGCCGTTGACGTCCGTAGACACGGTGTAACATTGGTTTTGCTTTGTTTCACAGAACTAATCGTTGCCTGGGTTGCGTACGTATATGTGGGGCGGAGCTATCACAATGGGCAAGACCCTTTTGGGGTAGGGGCGTGTTTGTTTTGGTGATTTCAAATATCAACATTGGCTACCAGAAATCACTTACTCTGCCTTTAACGGTAAAAAGCAATTCTCAGTAGGACATGATTGTGAGTTTGTGTTATGCTCTCTTTGTTTTTAGGGGTTCACTACCCTTCTCTTGTCAGTATCTGTGCTCAGCGTGTGAAGGAGGGAGAGAGAGGTTTATTGATGAGCACTCTGGCCTGTGGGTGCTACCTAGGGTAAGATATAATAATAGTTTCCCCAATCATTCTATTTGAATTCATATTTTTATTTATTTATTTATTTGAAATGTAAAATAAAACTGGAATTACATACCGTAATTTAGTGTTCCACACTAGGGGTGTGAATCTTCACTGGTTTCACGATTCGATTCACTTTATGTCACGATTCGTTGCATCCTCAGCTTTCAATATTACTGCACATGGCTACATTTTCATATATAGTTTATATCAGATTTATATTGTGCATTTTTATTAAATGATATAAGCAGGCTACTTTTTAAAATAATTACAAATGAATAATAAATCAAAACAATTGTTAATAGGCTACATTCATACTACTGCACAGATCTATTTCGACATATCAGATGTTTTGTCCTGTTCTGAAAACATAACTGACTGTGTTTACATCAGTTTCCTATCATAAAAGTATTCTATAAGAATCAATAATTCCTCCCACCCCTATTCCACACTATTCATGATTTTGTCATTGAGATGTCTGTCTCTCTTAGGATGCTGCTGGTTGGAGGTGTAGGTTCCCTGATGCTGGACTGGTTTGGATGGGGGAGTGTGTTTTATGGAGCTGGTCTCCTTGCTGTTTGCTGGACCTGTTGTGTATGGAAATGTCTTCTGCAAGGTACTTAAATTGTGGTCCTTTACATGTGTAAGTAGCATTGTTCTTGAGATTTTGCACTCGTTCTTGATTGAGTGCTATTTTATTGCTCTGAAGGTCAGAATTTGTATAATGAAGTCTCTTAGAGAAGTCGCAGTGAATCAGAGAAAATCAGTGTTGGCTTCAGTATTTGTGTTTGCCATAGCAACTGTGTGGATAGAATAATTGGATCTTTTTTGCCAGTGTTATTTTACAACACCCTGTTTTTAAAAATCTGACTCACCACAATGCAGCACTACTAAATAAGAGATTTCTATACCGAGGACCCTGCTATATCTTAATAATCTCATGTTGGTGTTCAGAAATCGTGTTTGTTATATATTACAGTTTAAAATGTGTCCGTACAGAGTTTGTTTAATTGTTTGTTACAGGTCCAAGTTTCTCTCTCGACTCACTGTGGATCAGCAGTAGTTCTACATCTGAATCCTCGAAAGTCAATTGGCTGAATCTCCTTAGAGAGCCTAGTGTCTGGTGAGGTTCAAAACATCGACATATCCCTCATTTTACTCTCTACTTTCACTCATTGTTGTATTGTTATGTTTTTTTTCCATTCCAAAGTTTTGTGTCAGGACTGTATTGTTTTTACGACACTCATTCTCATAAAATGTCAATTAAAACTTCAATCTTTTAAAAGATGTGCAAGTATTAATACAGAAAGTTGCTCAATGCATGTGTATGTGTTTTAGGGCTATGATCATTGCTCATCTCTGCTTTAGTAGCACGAATTACACACTCATGTCATGGCTACCAACATTCTTCAAAGACATGTTTCCTTATGCCAAGGTATGCCAGCCATCGCACATTAGCTGATTTTATTGGTTGTTTCTTTTTTTATTAGTGTTTACACTCCCAGTTTACTTACCAGTAATATTAATATGTAGTAGTGACAATATCTAACTATATTACTAAACGAAATGTTTAATCATAAGATGGTGTTTTTGTGCACTCAGGTTAGAGGAAGCACATGAGGTTTTGATGTTTTTTTGTTTTGTTTTTTGCTACGACTGGTCGTTTGATGTTGTCATTTTGTTAAAGCATTCCCTATTTATTTTGTTTGATGACAGGATTGGGTGTTTAATGTGATCCCTTGGTTTGTAGCGCTGCCCACTTCACTGTTTGGAGGCTCTATCTCTGATCATCTCATTAGGCAAGGTGAACAAAACCAACACAATCTCATAGCAATTCAAAACTAAAATGAATTGGTGTCTAATTTGTATGAATTTCTGCATCTCATTTGTGCATTTTAATACAATCTGCTTATTCCTCACTGGTAATTAGGTTTAGGTGTGGACCTTCTTGCTTCCTTTTGTATTTTTCTAACCCTAATGTCTCTGTCAGTAATTAGTCACATTTATGTCTTTATGTCAGGCTGCGGGACTGTGACTGTAAGGAAACTGATGCAGGTAACACAACATCAGCTATGAGCTTTAACGTGTCCTGATATAGAGTAAAATTACATTAACAATTCATGAATTGCATTATGTAATCTGTTGTGTTTGTGTGTGTCTGTTTGAAACATGCTTGTGTAGTTCATTGCAATGGGAGTAGCCAGTGTGTTCATCTTCCTTCTCTGTAAGACAGACAGCTTTATCCATGCTGTGGCGTGTGTGTCTCTGGCTGTTGGACTGTCTACATTTAATAACAGGTTAGAATGAACTGTCATATCCAAAACATGATCTTACAGCATTGATTAGCCTATATATAGTCTATTAGATCTTTCATGCTCAAATATAAATGTGTAGAAGATTTAGCCAATCAACAGCTGATTGTATTGTGAAGAGGTAGTAAAACAAGAGTAACCTGTGTGTGTATTTTCATGTTCAGTGGGGTGTCTGTGAATGTGCATGACCAGGCACCATCATGTGCAGGAGCCCTATTTGGTGAGTCCACCTCTGCTCGTAAAAAAGAAATCCAGGAATATTTTATTTTATCACAGTATGTTTTAAGCATTGTTCTAAATATGCTGCTCTCTTTCTTACAGGGGTTATGAACACATGTTCTGCTTTTACTGGTGGGTTATAATCCTTTTTCTGTAATGTAATGTATACAGTCATTGTAATGCCCTCATATACTTGTGGAAGGAATATTGAAATATTTTATTTAAAGTACTTTTTGATAGGTCAGTGTACACTATCTAAATTCTATTTGACAATTAGAAAAATGTAAATAGTAAAAGTAATCTAATATTGAAGTAATCTTTAATCTGAAAATGTTGACAACGTAATTACACAAGTTAAAACTATGACAAACAATTATATAAATTATGATAAAAGAAGTATATGACACTAATTGGCTTTTTATTTCATAATTTCAAATTATGTCATAATTGTCAATTTGGACTTTATATGACAATAATTATTGATCATAATTTTGTATCTCATTTTTTATTATTTTTCAAAAATAATCAAAGTTTTGTCTCAATTTAGACAATTATAAATTGTATCTAATAATTTTGATTTAGTATGTCAGAATTTTAACTTTTCTCATAATTTAAACTAATCTGCAAAATGGTATAAGTTCACATTCAAGCCCTGTGCAATTACTTATGTCTAATATCCTACCTCATTTGTACTGTTAATTGTAATACCTATTTTTCTATTGCTCTTCTTCTATCCCCATATCTTATTCTCTTTGTACTATACTTCACAGGTTTGTTGTTGGTGTACATGTCTGGCTACATGATTGAGGTCACAGGTTCCTGGGTGAATGTGTTCTCAGTCCTGGCTGTGGTGAACGTCATTGGTGTCACCATATTCATAGCGCTGGGTGAAGCAAAACGAGTTGATCAGCCTCAGATTATCTCAACATCATGCTGAAAACAAATTCTTCCACTCACCGAGACATATTGGGGTTTCCTTATTTGTCATTTGTAACAAATGGATTGAAACTCCTCAACACTTGTGTTTTATATAATGTTTTAGAAAGTATATATTTATTAATTTAAATGTGTATTATATTTGGCAGGGTTGGTTGAAAATGATGCAATGAAACACATTTTATGTTTTGTATGTAACCCCTTTTCCCAGTGCTGGTTATAGGTAGCTAAACTACTTTAAAAACTGTAACATGGGATGGGGCCCTGGGTGTGGTTTGAAAATAAATACTAATAAAACAAATAACTCAGGTGTTACGTTTCTTTTTGTAACTATTGGTTTTACACAACACTTATTGACGGTGCCTCCCTTTTATGTAGTAATTTCACGTTTAATTCCAAATATCCCATTAAAATGGGATCTTTTAATTAACTGTTGTAAACTCAAACACAACAAATGTGAATGGGAGAAATTATATACAATTTACTGAAGTAAACTTGAAATTAAAAGTATTCAGTATAGACAATTAAATATGAAACTGAAAATAAAAGCAAATAGTTAAACAATATACACTATAAAAAGCAGTTTCAATATAAACCCTCTGTTCAACTGACACCAAGATAAATGAAATTTAAAATCAGTAGAACGTCTATGACATTAAATTAAGTGGGCCCGCACACATACATCTGTCTCTTGTTCCATCATATTTAAACAAAATAAATCGTTGCAGGCCTGGGACGTGGCTTGAGAGCGTGGTGGCCAAAAAACAAAAACTGGCCGCTTCACTTTAAAAGCAACACAAAATTTGTTTAACTGCACGTACTTTATAGTACTCACGACCTGAGAGGCTGTAGTGACCACGAACAGGCACAACTGCACAGGGCGGCAAGTTCAGCAGATACGGGATCCAGTGAAGAGTATTCAGCGCCACAACTCATCAAAGAAAACTTCTTTTTCCATGGATCAGGAGATTTTCCCGGTCAATAAACAAATGGCTAAAGAAACAACTGTCCGTTTCCTTTAAGCAAGTAGATAAGCATCCCAGAAGAGCACACCAATTTGTCATCCATATTACTGGGTGTACTTTATCATATTTGTAGAGAACTAACGTGGATTGCAAGTTCCTTTAACTTTCTCCTTACAAGCTGCAATTGCTGCGCACATCTCCTAAGCCCCGCCCACTCATGAACAGTAAACACTGAAAATAACCCAATCAGAGACCAGTAAAATGAAGATGAGCAGGCATTCTAGTGGAAACCAGTTAGGCTGTATGAACGCATGTAAATTTTAGTACCTTAAAACTAAACGTATTAACCCTTTGCAGTCTGTATTTCTATATGCATATGAATAAAATCCCATCTGGGCTACATGTATAACAAATATTTATCTAAAATGTAAATTAATTTAATCGGAAATATTTGAAACAGTAGGACAATTGTCTTTCCACTAATATGATTGGAATAATTAAACTGTCTCAGTCTTAAGTGTTTCTTGTGTAGCCTACAAATGATTCGATGCAAGTCCAGCTCACTCACCAGAAGGTGGAGACAGAGGACAAATCAGAGCCGCATGATTCCATGAAAAATCACAAATCAGTGAAACATTACGGGTCATTACAAACAGTACCAAAATTGATTGTTTACCGTTCTTTAAAAACACATGGCATTAGGTAATATAAGGGTTACTGTTTGGTTTTCTGAGCCATATCCTCTCGATGACAGTGTAAGACCCCTTTCATCCGGTGAAACGGGCCTAGTTCTACAGGGGGTGATGCGCACGTCGTTGTGGTGATGTCACGGGTGGGCGGAGCCGAGCGAGATCCGCTGCATCTGGTACACTTACGTGATCGCGCGGTTCCTGGGGATGCAACCACAAATGTAACATCGGTTTCTTTAACGCACTTAAATTAATTACGAAGCCGGGGCCTACGAAACGGTAAGCGGTGCATGCGTTAAACCCACGTTACACCTTAAGAAAAAACACATTTTGTCTGCTCTCTTGATTTATAAGTGGGCTTGGGTGAATTGGTCTTATGTGGTGTAACGGGAAGAACGGGAAGCTAACAGGCCAGAGAATATGGATGCTGGAGCGCAAAGCAAAGCACCGGGGCCCGTACTGGTGATGCAGAAGCGAAGCGTGTTAGAGATTAACTGTAAATCCTTTCCGTTTGGTGAAGTAATCTATTGCAGTAATCTATCAACACAGTAGATCGCAATCACCTTTTTTTTTTTTGAACAGAAAAAACGGTCTGCCGTTTGTTGCTCAGATTCACATTAGCAAATCGCCCCTTCTCAGCTTTATAATATGAGTGAATGCATCATATGTGTATTGTGTCTCTTGTTAACATTGTATTGAATAGAGATGCCTTGATGCGGACACATAGTGCGACATTTGTTGCTGTAAAAACGAGCGCTCTTTCATGCAGACCGAATAGCGCAGTTGCGTGTCGATCTGTAAACGGTGGGGATGGGAATCGTGCGGAATTTAACGATTCGATTCTGGTTCCTCTGTTGCCAAGTAATAAAATAATTTAAGATATAATTAAATCAGAAAGAAGACGTGTTTGCACATTTTTAATTACATTTAACTACACATACTTTTACAGGCAGAATAAATGCAGTGGAATGATTTGTCCTAATATATTTTTTTTAAATTGGTAACATCTACAATTATATATTTTTATAAAATATTACTTAACTACACGTTTCCATTTGAACAACCAGTTATTCAGATGTCAGTTTCAGTCTTTCATTTGGGAATCACTATACTGGTCTCGCTATATGTTTTGAAGTGAATAAAAGAATCGACTCAACAGAGTCATTCGTCCAGGTTGAGTCAATTCATCGATTGAGTTTTTTTTTTTTTAAAGAATCCCTAACAATGCGCGTTCAAGAACCGCTAATGAAACTCTTCCTATAATTCCTGCTTATTGGCTTTGTCACTAAATCGTGTGAGCTGTCAACCCAGACACCATGTTGTGGATCATGGGTGGGTCTGTTTGAACGTTTCATGTGAGGCTGAATGCAGCCAGGCCATTTCTTCAGCTCCTGAATCCTCACGATGCTTCTGGAAAATGTGCCACCATAACACATAACATTTGTAATACTGAGGATTTTTATCATCATTTTATCCGATATGGATGCTTATCATTAACATCCATAATAAACAATACTTACAGTGAACAGCGTCAAATACACATTACCTAAAGAACACATCAGAGTTCACAACAGAATTTGGTGTTTAGGGGTCTGTTATAAATGATGCAACAAAGCTATTATTACATTTTTCTAACTAATCTCTGACACACACAATTGCCTAGATATCTTCTTTTGAGGAGTCTCACACTCTTCCTCAGGAACCCTGAATGCTTGTCTGAATTATTAGTGTCTGGCAGTGCTGAGTAAACTATCGGAGGTATCAGTCAGCTGAGTAAAGCTTTTTGTGGTGTACAAGATTGATTTGACACAAACCCAGGCCTCTCCAGACATGATGAGACAAGCAAGCACATAGAGGGACAGATTAACACTTTGCTTTATTGTTCTACTGATATGAAACTGTGTCAGTCTTTGTGTTTTATGTCCTTCGGTAGCCTACACCATAATAAGGTTCAGGTCTACAGTCTACACATGACAATATGGAAACTGAAACCTGTGATATCCTGTGGTATCGATTTCTCTTTCTGGGGATCAACACAAAAGAATTAGCTGACAGGAAAAGTGTGAGTCAGCTGATGAATCATCAGTAATGCTTATGATCACTAGAGAGTGCTAGTTATGTCATCATTACAGTAGTAATGATAGTTTGTTCAACATCACTGTATTAGTGTGTAGTTAGGCAGGTTGTCATTAGAAACATCTTTGTGATACTGTTCTTGTGTCAATAGCCTGAACATCATGCTATGACAGAAGCAGCATGAAATTTATTGTTGTTTGGGCCCTTTATGCCATCTTTAAAAGATCCCGCTGATCTGTTTAGTCTCTAAGATGAGTATTGATCTGAAATCCATTTAAACTACTAATTATCTTGAGTGGTTTTAGTGTTTAAACGTCAAACTATGATCTGGAGAATATCAGACATGTTCTCTTTGCATGTCTGCTGTTCATCTGATAATGCGTTTTCTGTGTCCTCTTGGGTTTTTTAGAGGCAAATGTATAATCAGTACATATTTAGCCACTCCAAGGGTTCATAAACAGTCGATAAACTTTGACGAGAGCAGACATCTGAATGAGATTTTGTTGGTTAGATTTAATCAGAACAGCAAAGTACTTGGGGGGTTGGAAAAGCTTTCTGCTCAAATCATAGATCTGTGAAATTTGGTTCTGTTTACTTAAATGTTTTATGAAATAAAACCTCACTTCAGTTTGAGAATATTTCAACTTTATCCAAAATAATACATAAAATTAATTAAAAAGAACTTAAGTAAACTTATGGTGACTAAAAATGAAAGCCTGATGAAGAGTGCAAGAAAAGATCAATCGATGACTTTAGCAAATAATGAGGATTCATCATTATTTTGGATTTATAGTGATGATGATAAGGTCATTTGTCATTAGGCCAGTGTCCTCATTTGGAAATATTGCATTATGATGTTCCCCGTTGTTCAAAATAAATGCTTCAATATTCATGCTTTGTATTTTATAAGAGATTTGTAATATTAGCATGCAGCATGTTGTGTGTTTGTGTGTGTTCAGATTGTTGAGGACCTGATTTGCCATGGCTGAGCAGCAGAGGCAGCGCTCTCTCTCCACCTCTGGAGAATCACTCTATCATGTGCTGGGTGTCGACAAACTGGCCACTGTCGATGACATCAAGAAGTCATACAGGTGAATTTGAGAAGCTCAGTCGTTTAATCAGCATTCCTGTACAGTGTTCTGCTCTGCTCCATTTCACTTTTACTGGCTGGAGTTTTCATCAGATGTTTATAGGCTAAATGCAGCACACGGCAATGTGGAAGCCTGCAGCTCAATAAAACTAAGTGCATTCAGGGACCGTTTGCCATGCACAGTTTTAGCCTACCCTAGGACTACACAAAAGTAATGGATTCATTAATAGAGCGATATTCACAGCGATATCACAATGTGAGATTTTCATGGTACGATAACCTGGAAATACCACAGCATTGCTATCATTGTATTATAGGTTAATGATCTTTCATGATTCTCAATACCATTTTTTATACCAAAAAAAGATACTAAACACATTTTACAGTATAATTAAAAAGTGTGATATTAATGAAAATACTGACTAATGAAATGTAATTATTAAAAAAAAAGTCAGTTTATATTTAAACTGACTTATTTCAATTTAGTAAAAATTGCTTGACTAATAAGAAACAAAGTAATACAAAACAAAATAATTTTTTGTGATATTGACAGGTATTTTGGGCTGCGCCCCCTATCAGATATATTGATACAAATAAAAACACATTTTTATATTTTTGTTTCAGTGTTACACCAAATTAATAATTTGTTTATGGTTAGATTAGAATTGC